AAGAGTCTGTTTCTGTGTTTTTTAGCTGCTGAACTCCAAAGGTGGCAGATTGGAGCGAGGGACCATGCAGCCGGGTGGCCAACCCGCCTGCAACCTGCCCAGACCTGATCAGGTCACCCAGAACGGGATCACGCGGAGCCACAAGCCCAAGCAGGCCCAAAGCGCCGCCGCCTGTCCCGCCACGAAGAAGAAAGATAACAGCAGCCCGAACAAGCCTTCTCCGCTCCGCCAGCCTCCGCTCCGAGAGCAGAAAAAGCCCCTCCACGCCTCCAACAACGTGAAGATCTTGAACACGCCGCCCGCCGAAGCTGCGCTCGAATACCTCAAAGACGGCGAGAAGGTCTACGCCGGCGCGAAGTTCAGCGAGCCGCCCTCACCGAGTGTCCTACCTAAACCGCCCAGCCACTGGGTCGGAGAAAACGAGCCTCAACAGAGCAACCAAAGCCGAGAGCAAATGACCGTTCACCTGAAGTCGCTGCTGAAGGTTCAGGATAAGTCGTGACCTCAGATCGGAGCCGACCTATCCGACGTGTGATTCGCACAGAATGCCGACAATTGGAAAATGAGCATTGATTGAAATTAAGTTTGGCCTTTAACACACTGCAATACAATATAGGGAGTTTTTTTTATATATACTGTAGTACAATTTACCATAATTCAACATGCTGCCTGTATTCGTGCACATTTTTGAGATGTCCTGTTGTTGCTGGAGCTCCGACCGACCGCGCTTATTCTGCCTTCTCGCTGGCAGAGGAAAGAGGGAGCAATGCTTGTGTCGTGATTGATTCGCGAAAAAACGTAACTGTGAGGAAGTCGAGGTCGTCTCCAGCAGCGACGCGGCCGGTGTCTCAGGTTTACATTATGTAAAGTGACGACGGCACTTTTCTTCGTGAGCACTTGTGAAAAAGGGCAGCCTCGCGTTGATTTGACTTTTTAAAGAGTAAATGTACATAATATAGTGTGAACATATATTTGTGTATATTTTTGCTCGTTGTTTTAACTGAGATTCTAGTTTTGTTACTGAGGTTTTTCCAAAAAAAAAAAAAGAAGTCCCCTGCGAACTGAGGCACTTTGTTACAGCTCCTTCAGTGTGAGACACAGCGGACGAGAGAGAGACTTTTCTTACTGATTTGCATTGAAAAATCGGGAAGGGCGGGAACATTTTGATGTTCCAACTCTTGACCAGCCAGCTCAGAGCGCAGGAGAGAGGACTTCCACACCTCCGCGGTTGGTTACCTCTCTAAACGGCTCCGATAGGAATTTCCCAGCTCGGTGGCTGAAGTTCCCCTCCCTCCCCCCCCGAACACGGGTCCAGCCGGTGGAAAGCCGAGCATGGAATCACCCAAGGACCACATTTTAAAGATTTTTTCCAGTGTTTAAAAAAACCAGCTTAGTGTGAAACAACAAAAAGATGCTGTTTTTAAATGTACCCGCTTAATGTGAACGTACTCTGAGTCAGTGAAATAGAGTTTAAAAAAAAAGAAAAAAGAAAAGGAAAAAGCACTCATGTCTGGATTGCTGGATTTACTGGCGTTTTTTTTCAAGCACTGGTTGTGAAGGCGTTTCACATTTTCATCTTCGCTTTTTTCGGTTTCGCTGAGGCTTCAGCAGGCCTCACAGTCCCTGACTTCCAT